ACAGCCACTAGCTATATCGAGTTGAATGTTAGTCTCGCTAAGTGGGAAGCTTGCTCTGATCAGAAGTTAATATTAAAAACCCGATTATACAACACTTCCGTCATTATGCTACAATCTTTTGAATTTGCCAATAATTACCAATCATTGATTTAAAAGCTAACTTACACGTACAATAATTTAAACTCGTACTTGTGCAACATATATATATATATACACACAATAAATGACTGACTAAAAACAGTAATCAGTCTCCTAAAGATGGCAGTGTAAGAACACTGAATCATGTAGGGTCTTTTTAGGGCTAGCTCCTGTTTTTAATAAATTATTTATTGAGTAATTATTTTAGCATTGTAATCCTTTTAATTGTATGTAAATAGAGATATCCGAGTTGAACCATTTTTATATACAATTACATACAAGTTTTAAAATATAAATGTATCTATAAGTCTTAATACACAATATTTCTCTAACTCATAGAATGTTCTGTGTTTAAAATAAGTCAGTTAAATATAATAGGTATATACAGAACACAGTTTAAAATTGTTTACAATGAAGTTAATTGTCACTCTTATGATAGAATACAAGTTTCTACACTTTCACGCATACTATTCAGTCTGACATTTTTTCCCAAGCACATGCTAGATTTACGAGGACAATGGGACAGATGAAACTTGTTTCTACATGAACTTATGTTCCATAATATTGGATTTTAACTTCATTTTACTTACTTATATTTCTCCAAGTAAATAAAGTACATATGTTTTTTTTTTTGGTTAACACTTCAATACAGTTCCCATTCTCTCAGTCCACTGATGCAGAAAATTACCCTTCAGTTACCAAAAATAAACCAAAACTATCCGTGCCTGTGAAATAAAATTTCACATCATGGAGCTGAGGTTCCAGGATATCCTTTTACATTTAATTACGTTCAAACTGTTATAGTTCAAACAACTTAAAAAAAAAAACCTCAGTTATGTAAAGTATTGAGAGGACTTACAAAATAATTAAAATTTGTCGAAACACTCGGAGTTACGTCTATCTATGAGAAGACATGAAATACATCGTGGTCATAACTTAAAGAATACCATAAACACAACATCTGACGATACTAAATAAATATGTTATTTTTGAAGTTAAAACTAATGTCTTACAATGTTAACATCAGGAAGTAGATACAATCAAAACATCAAGGCATGAAATACATCGTGGTCATAACTTAAAGAATACCATAAACACAACATCTGACGATACTAAATAAATATGTTATTTTTGAAGTTAAAACTAATGTTAACAGCAGGAAGTAGATACAATCAAAACATCAAGGCATGAAATACATCGTGGTCATAACTTAAAGAATACCATAAACACAACATCTGACGATACTAAATAAATATGTTATTTTTGAAGTTAAAACT